TGAAAAGGAAAATATCTATTGCAAATTGGAGTGTAAAACTCATGTTTTGTCTCTACAAAACTTGCATCTCTTGAACTCCAGCTCAGACAGACACAACTTCTTCTGAACTTCCTATTTCCCCTTCATTGCTTGTTACATACTCTTCATGTTTCTTTTTTTTCTCCTGCTCTTTCCTTTCTCTGAACTACAGTGCAAGTTACCCATGTTTTCATGACTGTAGCAGGAAAATCAATGTAAGTTCATGTATTTCTGTCTTTTACTTCACCAGAACTCAAATGAATCTTAGAAAACAGCTAAGTGAGGGACCACAAGAAGGGGTCTCATGCCTTGGCATGTAGACCATAGCCCCCTTCGACTCAGTCTGCAGCATGAGTACGGAATGCAAGTCTTGTGTGGATGGTTTTGGAAATGTATGGGGTCATGTTGTGTTTGCCAGGGAAGTTTTTAGGAAGCCAAAAAAAGGCAGAAATTCCAGCTTCTAGTCTGTCATAACTTCATGATAGGATCATCTGGCTTTGAGTTGGGAGTAATACAAATAATAACAGGTATTTGCCAACACATTCTGAAAGATCTCAGAAGATGAACATCGACAGCCTCTCCTTTGGCACCCTACTCAAGCACATTCCTACTCTTCCACCTTTGAAAGTATTTTCCAAATTTCTATGTATTACCTTAATCTCTTTTATAACACTGAAGGCAACTCTGTATAGCTCTACCCCCACGAAGAGCAGTTCGCTAGCTTCACTTCGGACTAAACCAACCCATTTCTTTTGGTTACTCCTCATCAGCCACATTCTCTGCCATTGTTCGCGCCATGCTTGCTGCATTCCCCTGGACTCTTGCCACTGTATCCCCATCTTCTCTGAGCTGGGGTGCCTTATTAGGATGTCTTATTCCAGCTGTAGCTTTGCCAATGCTGAGTAGTGCTAAACTATTGCCTCACTTATCTTGCTGGTTATACTCCAGGTTATTCCAGTATCATGTTTGCTTTTTTTTTCACAGGAACATGATGTTGTTGAGACAGATCTGGGCTCATTTTCATTCTATTTAAATTTGCTTTTTTGAGTTTGAACTTCTTACCTGGAATATTGATTTGGTTTTTTCTTTTGTGATATGGTAGTACAACTTTAACAGCAGAAATGTAACTGGAGTCTATTTAATTGGAGTCTGGCATTAAAGTGATATTGGTTTAAAACTGTTACTGCTCTTTTGCATAGGTCCTATATGCATGCAGACAAAATTTCGCTAACTTCCACTGAATAAATGTATGAATATGAAACAAGTTTTTTTAACCCACCTGCTCAGGATGTTGTTGGCAGCATAAAGTCCAAGGTCTATGGGTTAATGTTTTCTTCATTAGGTAATTAACAGTGCAGGTTTTTTAGTACTGGAATTTAACTGATAGCACATGCTCTTCTGCCTTGCTTTTCATTTAAAATGTGATGCTTCATGGTAACAACAGCTAGTTCCTAATTAGTGATTTTCTATGCATAGTTTAAAATGCTTTGTGAAAAACAGGTATCGATTATTATTCCTATTTTGCAGAACTCATCTTGGTTTTTTCTTGTTTGATTTGCTGAGGGACAAAGATTGATTTTCCAGATACTCCGTGATATATTATTACTAGGTTTGCAGTTAGAACCAGTGTTTTCTGAATCTACTTGACCATAATGCTTTGAAAATACTCTCACTAGCCTTCCTATTGCACAAACAATTATTTAATGAAGAAGTTAAAAAGGTGGTGTGTTGTGCTATACTGCATCAACTGACTGTGAGTCACATTAACTGCATTTTTTTTTTCCAATTATTTTAATCAACTTTCCAGCTACAGGAAGCCTCCCTGCCAATCTGAGAAGCACCAACCTGCTCCTTTCCCCACCCTTGCCCTACCACTACCTCCCTAGATCAGCTTTTATGCTCCTGATTCTCAGATCCAGCTCAAAGTCTTTTTGTGCCATAGACAAAAATTAAATGTTGCTGTCCCAAGGATGAGAACAGTAGAACTTCTTTCACCTTTGCTCTCAGTGTAGCAAAGTTCAGTTGTGCCATGGCTGCATCAAGCATACAGCTGGGAGAGATGCCCAGCCTCCTCCCCCAGCTCCCCAGCCCCACGCCCTGATGTAGGGGTGCAAAGCACACTGCTCACCCCAGCCTCTTGTATACACAAGGGGGTATATTATGTACACCAGAGAGGAGCAAACATGTGATGCATGCAGCTAATGCCTCAGACAGTCAACCATGTAGTTTCTTCAAAACACGTCTAATAATGATGATTTGGGGACTATTACAGGAAAGACATGTATGAAATCCTAGGGGCATTCCTTAAAATGGCCATACCATTGGTTTTTATAGGTATGGTCACCCTGTAACTTTTTTCTCTTTTTTTAAATCTTATGAAGCTCATGTTACATATGTGCCACAACCACTATTGCTGATGCAAAGGTGTATGTCACCTTTGCCTATGTAGGAAGCCTCTATTAATCATAATGTATATGATACTATCTTTGGAAAATTTCAGTCTCTAGAATGTTAGCATATTAAAAGTAGTTTTATACAGTAAGGAGTTCTTTATTATTAACAAAAAGACCTGTTATTTGCGTTATTCAAGAATGACTTTTCAGTTTTTGTAGTTTGATCAAAGACCTTAATCCACATATCCTCATGTCTTTATTAAAACATAGCATGTTGCTGTGAAGATTAAAAACCAGTGCTGAGGGTCAAGCAATCATTATTGCAGCAACTGCAAATTCCAAATGAGCGTGCAACCCTTTTAAATTTTTCAGCTTTAAAAGCTTTTCTTGTGTAGCAAATTTAAATATTACGAACAATAGGGTTGGGATTTAAAGACCTTTTAATAGTCTTCCCTATCTCTTTTAGAAATGGTTCACTTACCTACTTCCCAAAGCCAGTGGACCACAGGGTAAAAAAATAAGGTCAATTAATCATCACTCTAATTCTATTAACTATTTCTCATCCTTTACATCTGTATATATATATATATGTAATGTCTATATGTATATACCTATACTATAGATACATATAAGATAGAACTGCTTTCTAACCAGAGAGTTAGCACCATCCCAAATACACTGCTGTCTGTGGTGAGACTGGTGGCCATTTGGATCAGGTGCTGTGCGTGTGTGGTTGGTTTTCTGCAATATAACTGAAGTCATCAAACCAAACTCAATCCCTGTGTAAATCCACTCGGTGGAACAGACAGTCAGGGCATATGAAATTGCACTCGTTTGGTCTCATGACTGGAAAACTCCAGGGGCAGACGTACATCTGGTATTAATTGGTAGATCACTGCTTGTCTTTTTTTAAAAATGCTGCTTTCTCTGTTTTCTGTGCTAAAATGAAACCAATATATGTTCTAAAATTTAGAAATGTGTATATTACTTTTTCCCCCAATAGAAGTCTTTTTAAAGAGAAGATTGTATCAACAGTCTTTTAAACTATATTACAAACACTAGGAAAATGGCCTTTTAATTCAGTTTATCAGAGGTAGAAAATGAATATATTGTATTTGCCATGCACAGCCTCACAGTCTCCTCCTGGAATTACTAAAAATGGTATCAAATCTCATGTCTGACCCAGCCACTCAGCAGTCTTGAAAGCAAAGTACATGACTACCATTGTCCAGCACCTATCATTTCCCAGATCCAGATCTGGAATTTAGGTTAGCTTAATAGCTATTGTTTAGTGGACAACAAAAGGAATCACCTTTTATTTCACCAGATATTCCCAAAAAAACCCTCAGAAGTCACGTAAAGAACAGGTGCAAACAAACAGAAAAGGAACCCACCTCTTATTGTAATAAGGAAACAGAGACATCACAGCTACCCTTAGAGCTTGCATCTTTATTGAACAAGTCCTACTAAAATAGCTAAAATACATTGGGTACTTGTAGTGCATTATTAAAGATCACATTGTTACAAAAGCCTGCGTTTTCAGCAGTACACAACTGCAACTATACATAAATGCCACAACTGCTGAATATTACTTCTTGCTCTATATACAGCACAGTAGATGTATCTAATCTATTGGAAAATAAAATGTACAGGAAAAGGGATACAGAAAGTGGGGAAAGGAAAGAAATCTAGGAAGTGCAGTGCATGCATTGGTATTTAACAGTCAGAAGCTAAAACAGTTCAGAACAAGGCCTGCCCTGTAAAAGGAAGAGCTAAAAGACAGAGTTATATAAAAAATTAAGGTGGGCTTTCAGACTGTGTCTAACACAACAACACTCCATGAGTAGATGATACTGTTTAGTTTTGTGTTTCGTGTTGTGTTTTGTATTGATAGTAGTCCGGGAGCAAGAACAAAAATGTAAAGTCCACACGTTGACAGTACTGTGGAAATGTA